TCACAGGTAAATCACTACACCAATCACAGGTACATCACTCAATTAATCACAGGTAAATTCCCCAATTAATCACAGGTTAATCACTCAGTTAATCACTGGTTAATCACTCAATCAAACATTGGTGAATCATTTAATCAATCACAGGTAAATCGCTACATCAATCACAGGTAAATCACTCTATTAATCACAGGTAAATCACTACATCAATCACAGGTAAATCACTACACCAATCACCCAAACACTCGATTACGGGTAAATCACCCAAACACCCAATCACAGGTAAATCACTCAATTAATCAACGGTAATTTTCAGATTCATCACTAAATCAATCACAGGTAAATCCCCCAAACACACAATCACAGGTAAGTCACCCAAACACTCAATCACAGGTAAATCACCTAAACACACAATCACAGGTAAATCATTACATCAATCACAGGTAAATCACCCAAACACACAACCACAGGTAAATCACCCAAACACACAATCACAGGTAAATTACCCAAACACACAATCACAGGTAAATTACACAAACACACAATCACAGGTAAATCACCCAAACACACAATCACAGGTAAATCATCCTAACACACAATCACAGGTAAATCACCCAAACACTCAGTCACAGGTAAATCACCCAAACACACAATCACAGGCAAATCACCCAAACACACGATCACAGGTAAATTACCCAAACACACAATCACAGGTAAATCACCCAAACACACAATCACAGGTAAATCATCCTAACACACAATCACAGGTAAATCACCCAAACACTCAATCACAGGTAAATCACCCAAACACACAATCACAGGTAAATCACCCAAACACACGATCACAGGTAAATCTCAGGTTATCACTTCACCATTCACAGGGTATATCACCACATCAATCACATGTAAATTTCTGAATTAATCACAGGTAAATCTCTGTATTAATCACAGGTAAATTTCTACATCAAGCACAGACAAATCATTCAATCTATCTCAGGTTCATCACTTCATCACTTACACTTACATTGTTCACTTATATCAAAATAAAAATAACATAGATGGCAGGTTTAACACTATATTGATTTGAGACTTATCACTATATTGATCACGAGTCAATCACTATATTGATTACGAGGTGATCAATATATCTATTACAGATCAATCACTACATTGACCAAGACTTCGTCTATTGTGATATTTTCACCAGTAAATGAACACAGACACGGTAAATATAGAAACCACATCTATGACTCAGACCGTGTACGATGTTGTGCGGGCAGAAATAGTCACTTAGAAGTTGTTACACATGAACTAACAGGTTACGGAGTCTGATCATATCTGGTAATTCCATATCGAGTTAGCAGCTGCTGAATTACACGCGAAAAACAACAAACAACCACCCCTCCTCTCAGACCAGCTTCATCAGCAGTTTCCTATGGTTTTTACGTATCTTATAGCACATGATTCGTATCCTAGCCCTATGGCGGTGGACCCAAGAGAAGTATATTGGGACTACACCAAATTTTAACACAAAATGTGTGTCGCCTAATTTTATTACTATTTTGAAAAAAATAGACGGGAAAATATCGATATGTTCTTTAAATGCGTATATTTTCTCTATAAAATATCACAGCCAAAATTTTAGGTTTATAAAAAAAGATGTTCAGTTAACTAACTTGGACTAATTTCAAGATTGTTATTATCCAAACAACAAGAAACACGGTGAAACCAAAACGAAAGAGAGAACTATAAAAAAAGGGGGGAATTAGAGATAACATTATACAAACGTCGACAGGCGGTAGCTAGGTCTTACATCTCAAAGTGAAAGAAAAAAACGAAAGTAATGAGCAAAGAAAAAAAAACCACCATGAAAAGAGTCACATAAAATAACACCATAGAAAAAATACCATGGTATAAAAGCAAATACATTATCAATTGATCAAAACAGGGTAACCAAAGAAAAAAGAGAGCAACATCACGACTACTTCAGAGATGGAATGAAGACGGCGAACCAAAAGAAGAAAAAGATAGTGTGGCTACTACTTCATAAAGGTTAAACAACCTTACGATGATAATTAACATCCGGAAGTTCTAGAACAAATAACAGGGACAATTTTATCACAAATACTTCAAGTTTAATAAGGAACCAAAACAAAGTTAAAAAAAACGCAAAATAAACACCAAACCAGCAAACGCTATCAACAACGAGAGGAAATGGTGGAGGAAACCGGCATTAACAGCAACGATTAAAACAGAAGTACTGAAACACCAAACTGAAAGGGAAAGCAACGTTATTCACAACAAGAGGAAGCACTGAAGGAAACAATAAACTAACAGGGACAACAACGGTATAAACAGTAAGAGTATTCACTGAAGGAAACACCAAACTAACAGACAACAACTGTATAAACAGCAAGAGGATTCACTGAAGGAAACACCAAACTAACAGACAACAACGGTATAAACAGCAAGAGGATTCACTGAAGGAAACACCAAACTAACAGACAACAACGGTATAAACAGCAAGTGGATTCACTGAAGGAAACAAGAAACTAATCACAGGTAAATCACCCAAACACACAATCACAGGTAAAACAGCAAGAGTATTCAATGAAGGTAAATCACCCAAACACACAATCACAGGTAAATCACCCAAACACCCAACCTCAGGTTATCACTTCACCATTCAAAAGAAACTAACAGGGACAACAACGGTATAAACAGCAAGAGGATTCACTGAAGGAAACACCAAACTAACAGACAACAACGGTATAAACAGCAAGAGTATTCACTGAAGGAAACACCAAACTAACAGACAACAACGGTATAAACAGCAAGAGGATTCACTGAAGGAAACACCAAACTAACAGACAACAACGGTATAAACAGCAAGAGGATTCACTGAAGGAAACACCAAACTAACAGACAACAACGGTATAAACAGCAAGAGTATTCACTGAAGGAAACACCACTGTAACAGACAACAACGGTATAAACAGCAAGAGTATTCACTGAAGGAAACACCAAACTAACAGACAACAACGGTATAAACAGCAAGAGTATTCACTGAAGGAAACACCACTGTAACAGACAACAACTGTATAAACAGCAAGAGTATTCAGTGAAGGAAACACCAAACTAACAGACAACAACGGTATAAACAGCAAGAGTATTCACTGAAGGAAACACCAAACTAACAGACAACAACGGTATAAACAGCAAGAGTATTCACTGAAGGAAACACCACTGTAACAGACAACAACGGTATAAACAGCAAGAGGATTCACTGAATGAATCACCAAACTAACAGACAACAACGGTATAAACAGCAAGAGGATTCACTGAAGGAAACACCACTGTAACAGACAACAACTGTATAAACAGCAAGAGTATTCACTGAAGGAAACACCAAATTAACAGGGTCACCAACTTATACAAAACAAGAGGAAGTTCTGAAGGAAACAACAAACCAACGTGAACAACAACGATATAAACGCTCACCCAACCAACAAAACAATGTTGTTTAACAAAGCTAGTAAGCACTAGACCTCAAACCAAAGAAGAAACATCGGCTTAAACACTCCAGGAAGCAACGCCGAAAACGCCAAATAGACATCAGCTTAAAAACTACAGGAAGCAACGCCGAAAACGCCAAATAGACATCAGCTTAAAAACTTCAGGAAGCAACGCCGAAAACGCCAAATAGACATCAGCTTAAAAACTTCAGGAAGCAACGCCGAAAACGCCAAATAAACATCAGGAAGCCAAAGAACAAAGCCAAAACCAGAGCAAAACGAAGAAAAAACGATTTAACTAACAACTAGCACAATCCCCAAAAGAAACAAGGGAAACATTAAGTAACTCCTCATATCAGAAACAAACTGGTATAGCAAGGCACTGGAAGGCAGGTCTAATTTTCAAACAGTTGAACACTCATTTTCCGTACTTGTCACGATGCATGTCCACGTTAAGTAATAAATGTATCACTGACAAATGATTCAAAGCAAAAATTAAAATTATTCGTCTAAAAATGGTCAGAATCGTTTATAGATTGAGGTGTGGTAGGATGAGGGTTTGATTTTTTATGGAGGTGGGGGGAGGTCGTTTAGGGGTGGGGATATATGTATTATTTCTTCTAAAATTCTAAAAATGTGACGTACAAATATTTGACCTACACGATGCATTTCAGACATCTTAATATTGCCCTGCTACGCGAGTCTATAATACTCCAGAGAAAAATGGAGAAAAATGGCAGGTGCTGGCTGTCATATGTTTATCAAGACAATCTGTCAGAACAATAACTACTATTCAAGTTTGGCACCACGGGAAGTCATCCCGCAGCAAATGAAATCGACGCCAACTTCCTCACATACATGGAGACTTCCGGGTAGTATCGGTTAACAGGTGACCGTACCTCACAGTGTCAGTTAAAGTACTACTGCCACTGCGACAAACAGTAAGCGGCATGTCTGGATCATCTTCGGTAGACCAACACGTAAATTATAAGTATAATTTTTAATAAAAGAAAGGCTCATTCAAAACAGTAAACAGTAGAATATAACCGGAAGTGAAAATGTTAGTCCAAGTAGGCGAAAAAGTGTTTTGATTTGATTACTATAACCCACGTTACAAGATATAAGACCTTTTGCAAAATTCAATTGCTCCTATCCTGTTTTTAGTCTCGGTGACCTTCACCCTTGAACGCAAAACACGTTAAAATAGTTCCGGCTGGAGGTAGCTACCGAAGGTTAACCAGTACAGCCATTATAACAACAAACAGATGGTCACTTCATTGGCTGGACAATGGTCAGACAAAACAACTCTCAAGATGTCATTATATCATTTTAAGGTAATTACAATCTTATACAAGTGCTATGATTTCCCATCACAGACAGTGTAGATATAAATAGTCCATGCACTCCCCTCTTTAAATTGTAGTCATACGCCAATGTATTAAAATATAATTACAAACAGTTAAAGTATTATAATAACATTTTGCTTACTTTTAAATAGATGTCAGTCTTCCGAAGCAAACAAAAATGGTGGAAGGTCCGTGTTTCCGGAATTCTTTAACACAAGCAGATCCCAAGTATCCTTCACTACTCCAAGGTGTATCGGAAAAGAGGTATTTTCTAAGACACTCTGTGGCTAACCTCTCCTGAACATCACGCTTTCAACCATGTGTATTTCACCGGTAGTCCAAACAGGGGCTGTTTTATAAATAATCACGATTCAGATTGGTTGTTCGGGAAAACCCGAGAGTCTGGACGACCAGTTGATAGTGCTGATAAACCGGACCACGTGCTACCACCATCTCTCGTTGCGCATCCTCGTTTCCATATTTGGGGTGGGAATGTAAGATGAGCTGTTCTCGTTCTTACTTATATTCTGTAGAGTGTGTGTGTTTGTGTATGTACCGTATTACGGTTCTGTCTGTCTCATCAACATATCCTCATCGTACGTTCCTCCGCCCTTACTATACGGCACAAGCACGCGAGCACGCGCGCGTACATGATCCAGTTGTTGTTTTCTTTGGTCTCGGGTCTGATTGACAAACTTACATCTGCACATGGTGTTTCATCACATAGTATGATTATAGTGGAACATTTCATGTCGATGACTCGTTTACCTTGTAATTTTTCAAACAACAGATGAAATTTCAGGGAGTGGTTCAGTCATCGCCTTCTTGGATTAATTATGACGGCTTTAAGCGCATGGACATTTCATTTTAAACATTTGTTTTGTAAGTGACTTACAAATTGTATCCTAATTATTTACATGTAATCGCACGCACTTTTAAAGGATACAAAAAAAACTTAAAACACAACTACAAGTAGCGCATTAACAGCTTCCGTTGTATAACGAGAGCGACTACAAACAGTTCTCGGCCTGACTGGAATAAACAGGTTAATATGCCATCTACATTTAAGTTTTTTTTTTTTTCGTTCTTGTTTCCAAGTTTCTCGAAGCTCTGACTTCAGACGACGCAATGTTTGCACAACCACGTTCCAGCGTCCATATTTTTATTCTCTTAAAACTTCATGTTGGGTCATAACACCGTCGTGAATGTCACTGTAAAAAGGAGGTAGTTATTTCTCCACAACTGTGTGGAGTTTTTAAGATGTTTTGATAAAAATCTGTGAATTAATCGCCCAGCACTTGAGATGCTTGATGCCACACGTGTGTATATTTACGTAAATACTCTAGAATGATTCACGTAGTCCCGAATCGCCAAGAAAAGGTCCCTACAGTTCAATTTCTACAAGGCTCCTTTATTACACAAACTGTGACATGAACTATCAAAATATATTACATAAAGAACACATTAGTATCCTCCTCACCTCACTTAAGTTATGTTGCTTTTTCAAACACCAGTTTTTAACAACTCTCTCATATGATGTACACGTGTTGATTGTGTGAAAGCGTGATAATGCATTTCAATATGACATCTTGAGTTTTGCTAATATGTAAAGATGTTTGTAGGGAAAGATATACAACAACAACAATAGTAACAGTGACAACAATAGCGTCAACAACAACAACAATAAGGGGCAACTGTTGAAGCGGCCTTATTATAAATCTTAATTTTGATAGCTTTTATGTCTACGTGAGTCGAAAAATGCTCCTCAGTAGGGAGAAATCTCAAGATTACAGGCTACAAAACCACACCTAATTTCAGATAATTTATTTCGTTAAAATCGGAAATTGCCGGATTGAATTGCGATTCTGTCGCTAATTTAATGAGGTTGTGACGTATGACCGAGACATTTAACATTTTATTCTGCAAGGTCAGGTCACAGTGAGTGTCCATCGATAGGTCACTTATATCCGGTCTGTATTCCGAGGTCACGTGCCGGTCAGTACGATTTCACAGTCTGAGGTAAAAACAAATCTATGTTTGTCTAGATGTTATATAGTTCAATGCGGAAAAGGAACTCTAGAGTAAATAAACTTAAATATAAAGCTGGAATATTACTGAGACCACTTTGTCAGTTATCGCTGTGTTCAAATGCATATTTGTATTCGTTATCCTTTAAGTGTGGACATCAATTTGCATTGATTGCATTGCATTACTGTGGGGTATAAATTCATGGTAATTCTAACTTCAAATACTATTATACAGAATTATAAAAACTGTCCATTTGCCTACATTATACCGAGAGTTTTGGTGGGAAGGTAAGGTGGAGGTGCATGTGGGTTGGGGCATCAGATAGTTTGGGTGGGAAGGTAAGGGGAGGTGACGGTGGGGTGGGGCATCAGATAGTTTGGGTGGGAAGGTAAGGGGAGGTGACGGTGGGGTGGGGCATCAGTTAGTTTTGGTGGGAAGGTAAGGGGAGGTGACAGTGGGATAGGGAACAGAGAGTTTTGACAAAATATACCAGCAATAAAACGATAGGACAAACAACATCAACATTTTTAAAGTTGAATATATCATAAGTAGAAAAATCGATTATAAAAAAAATCGGATCATTTTACATTTAAGCGAAAACAAAAATATTTCAAAATTAGCATATAGTTCTCATCCTATTTCCTCGCGACTAATAAAAGCAGATTTGTCTTCATTTTGACAGCTGGCGAACTCTCCAGATGTGCCAATGGGAGGTGCACCTTATCCGACGGCCAGTTATATCATATGGACCATGCTCAACTGATTACGAGAGCTAATTAAGATTTTGGCAGACAACATGTGCGGATAGAATGTTTAAAGTGATCCTCAGACCTTAGCGGCAATGTAGGGGGTTCTGCAAGCCGCATGTAAGTCTATGAAAATCCAATTATAGCCGCGCGTGCCTTGTATTAGCACTTATCAACAAATGACATGAATCTCCTTGACTAGATAAGGTTAAACATCATCATTGATAATAAGGTAGCATGTCTTTCTCAACAACAACAACAACAACAACAACAACAAAAAAAAAAAAACACTGGATATTTCGTCGGTATGCATTTCAGTCCGATTCCATGATTCCATGAGTTAAAACAATTGACTCTAGCAGCAGACAGGGTCAAATAAAGATTTCATCATATCATTATACAGAAATATCATAACCTAGTCACGGTAGGATGACACTGACAAAGTGACCTGATCCCAATAACAACAGACCAGTCACTGCGCTTTTGTCCACAGAAAAGGAAAACGTTAAATGTTAATAATTTTCATGAAACTTTAACATGTTATCGGTACGTTTGTTCATCGCTAGATCTTTGCAACACTATCCATGTTTACAGATATATGACATTTGTCAGACTTTCCTTGGTCACAGATATATGATATATGACACACTGTCCTTGGTTACAGATAGGTCTTTGCCACACTTTCCTTGGTTACAGGTATATGATCTTTGCCACACTGTCCTTGGTTACAGATATATGATCATTGTCACACTGTCCTTGGTAACAGAAATATGATCCTTGTCACAGTGTCCTTGGTCACAAATATATGATCTTTGCCACACTATCCATGTTTACAGATATATGACTTTTGCCACACTTTCCATGGTTACAGATATATGATCTATGCCACACTGTCCTTGGTTACAGATATATCATCTTTGCCACACTTTCCATGGTTACAGATATATGATCATTGTCACACTGTCCATGTTTACAGATATATGACTTTTGCCACACTTTCCATGGTTACAGATATATGATCATTGTCACGCTATCCATGTTTACAGATATATGACTTTTGCCACACTTTCCATGGTTACAGATATATGATCTATGCCACACTGTCCTTGGGTACAGATATATGATAATTGCCACACTATCCATGGTTACAGATATATGATATTTGCCACACTCTCCTTGGTTACAGATATATGATCTTTGCCACACTTTCCATGGTTACAGATATACGATAATTGCCACATTGCCAGATTTGTAATGTTCTCCATACCGTACTTAGTATAGAGATAAAGATATGCGCTCATGACCTCTCTTTTTCTGATTCCTTATGCCATCCAAAGGGCAAAAAATTCCAGACACTACTACGACAAAACTATCTGAGCTTCCTATGAACCATTATTCTCTAGATGGTTCATTTTTTTCAAATCGTAATTCAATATCTCGATCTATGTTAGTATTTCATTTCAAATTGTGTAGTTTGAGATTTGTACCAATGTACAGTTTCATGTCTATACCCAACGTTATCTATCCCATATGTAAACTTTTTCCATGGAGACACAAAAGTTTAGATTAAATGTTAAAAGTCTTTCCATATCCTTGACACAGTAACATAGTGTTGAAAACTTTCACGCTGGGAGCTGTATTAGTATGGAAATACTCAATTGTGTTATCCATATCTAGCACGAGACCTATCCCGCTGAGTTTTTTTTTCAGATTGCTCAACGTTGCTCATATATCTGCATTAATCCACAAGTATCAAATTCGACCTTTTCTCGTATATTCAAGTTTTTATTCAACCTGAAGATAAAACTTATTTTCTATGTCTTCCAATGACGTCATTCGACAGATTTTAAAAAACTCAATGTAATTTAACAAGATGATGGTCGACATATTTATCAAAAATATTTGGATCACGCCTTTTTGAGGTCAAGTTTCCTGGATCCAAATATTTATCAGGAAACAACTTCGGACAACTGCGCATGCGTGTTGTAGTAGAAAGATAATGGGAGCGATTTTGATATTATACGTAAACAGATATTCCGTATTGATTGGCATATTTTCGCGCAGACTGATCAACATCTATGTAGAATTTGAAAAGTGCATACCACTGCAAGATTTCATCTTTTGCACGGTAGCTTGTATGCACGATGTTACAAATTTGCCCCCCATCTCAACATCATAGACGATAAAGCAGATATGTTGGTTCTAAGGAAGAAAATCCAACTATGAATAACCTGGCGCTCATTCCATCTTTTGAATAATGTCGAAAGTAATTATATCTGGACATTTAGAAAAGAGCGGTTTTAGACGGAAAGGTAATTTTGGTAGAGGTAAGATGATAATCTTTACCTGCCGGTTTCCCATCACCGACCAATTCTCTAAGTATGCGGATACTGTTTGTTTAACTCTTACCAGATGCAGTAAGCATCAACATCGTTATGGAAAATTCATGTTTGAGAAGTTGTTCTTGTAAACTC